CTAGAATAGATATAAGTATAGCTGAATGACTGTGATCTCTACTGGATTCTGCCCAAAATTTTGCCTGTAAACTGATACCCTCAGGTAAAACTGATTCCCAAACACTGATGCCTTCAGGCCTGATGCCCAGACTTGCAAACTGATACATGCATTCCTGTAGAGGTACACTGTAAAAGCACATAACAAGCAAATGAGAGCCAAAACACCCCTATGTTGGGGTAGGGTTTCCCTGTCCTATTTTTTCATGAGTTAAGGTTTCACTACACACGCAATGGTTTCAAACAACCTACAATTGGGTAAGCAACCTGTCCTAGTTTGGAAAAGTCACTACGGATTCCGATATGCACTAGGTCGAATAGTCAAAAAAGGTGCCCCGGTAAAAACTGAGGTTTGTGTTCCCATCGTGGCAGAGCCCGCAATCGGTCACCTTATGGCATGCTTCTCAAAGCGAGCCTCTGACAAATCGTTCAGGAATAGCATACGGCAAACACGGTGTCCTAGGCGCACCAATGCAAATACAATGCAAAGAGACACATAAGTGTAATCAAAACAAGATATCATGAGTTCGAGTCAAGTTCTCTAACTCCCAAGCAGAGTCGCCAGAAACTGTGGACTCGCCCTGAACGTCCCCAGCGCTCCGCGCGCGAAAATGGCGCGGGATTCCGTTTTGTCCATTGGGCTTACTATAGTTCGGACTCAAATGTCACGGTTCTGAATCTAATCTCACAATGTGTGATGTGAGACCGATAAATCACCAAAGAGTCCAAATTTGGCAAATCATTTTGGAAAACTGATTTTTATAAAGAAGTGCCAAACATGGACTACTTTGCCAGATACAGAGTCGCCACCTAAATATGTTATTTTTGGGGAATTTAAGAAACCTTGACTCGTGCCTAAGGCCACGTGTCCGTCATCACCAAAGTTACCTTGGCTCGGGAACTTGGGTACGATTGGGGAAGGTCATTTAATGAACACCCCCGCTTGCCCGATCAAAGATCGACCTGCACTAAGCATGATATCTTGTTTTTGAAAACACATGTGTTCTTATTCCGGTTAATTAGCTAATCTTACTATGTGATGCGCGCAGCAAACAAGTATAGACTAGATCGCCTAATTTGGAACAAAACATTGCATATTCATTTGAAAACGGTTTGAAGTTTGCTACTCGCAAGTAGGCTAAAATGTGGATTTCAATGAATTGTTCCAATTCAAGTAATCCAACCTTCACCCACAAGCATTCAAGCAGTTAATCAACTAAGCAGTTAGCCTCATGGTAAGCATGCTTTCATGGCAACATTTAACATACATGCAATATGCTAAAGCGTAAACACTCACAGTGTACTCCGAGCCAAAACAAAGAACTAGTTAGAAATCAATGCATAATCCTAGTTCATGTTAAGATGGCTAATGCAACACATGCGAGAATGCAACTAAAATAGGCTCGGCTATTCTAGAATGTCATGTGAAATGCAACTTGGTACATGTATTCAAATTGGAATTGAAATACAATGCAGTTAGTATGATGCGCCGAGCCCGGTGCATGCAAGATAGATGAATGGATGCACGCATGCGAACATAAGGTATGCTAAATGAAACATGCCCTAAAACTAACCATCATAAGCGGTTAAGTAAATGGGAGAAATAAGTGGAGGTTGGAAGACATACATCACATACACGCACGCTTATTACAATAATACGCCCTCTCGAGAAAAGGACCAAATAAGAAGCTAACTAGCTAATCTAAACTAATTAAACTAATTATTACACAACAAATTAATTAACTAATCCTAGTTAACTAATTATTACAGAACGAATTGAATAGCTAATGCATTAACTAATTAAAGTACAAACCAAAGCAAAAGCTAGCTATGTAAGCATGGCGGCTAAGGAAGGCAGTAAATCAGGAGCCTCAGAGGGAGAGGAATGCATGCAAACCCGGTCGCCTCATTCGGCAATCCAATGCGATGCCCCGATTTGCCTCTGTTTTCATCTATCCTCAGAACTTTGCACCAAGCTCCAGAAAGATGAAACTTCACCTAGGGAAACCTGTGGGAGGGTGGCCAACCACTTTTGGTCTCTCCAGACACCTGCTGACCACTTTTGGTTGTTGAAAAACTAGAAAAGTGGTCGGCCAGCTAGTTTTTCTGGCTGGCCAGCCAGTTGTTGCTGCTGAATTGTAATTTGCTGCAACAGAGAGCAAGAAAGGGCATGTCAATGTATTTGCAAGATATGTGTGCACAACTACCCTCCCTATCATGTCATGAACTCAAGAAGTGTGGTTCTTGACCCTCGGGCCACCAATCGCGCATTTCAATGCATGATGGCCGAGAGGAGAAGTTGCACAATTCAATGTAAAATGAATGCCCAAGTAAACACATAAAGCTTAGAACTCTATCATGTATGATCAAGAGCATCGGCGACCGAGAATTGAGGCACGTTTCATCACTTGAAGTATGAAACCTCCCTCGTTCTTCTTGTTGGACTAACACCTATTCCAAACAACAATGCAACACATAACATGGCATACACAATGCGACTCAAGCATACAAACATTGGAGGGATAAGCATGCAAACATGCAATTAACATACTTGCATACACAATGCGAATGAACTATATGGCATACACAATGCAATAACTAACATGGCATACTCAATGCAATATGATCATGGCATACACAATGCGAATCAAGAGCATGGCATGCGCAATGCAAACAACAACATAACATGCACGATGTGATGTGACATGTCATACACAATGCTCAATGGGCTTAAACCGAATGTGGGTAGACCTCAGCCATGCCAAAACAGAGGCCATAATGCTAAAACGAAGACACTGAAAACACATATAAGCATGCATGCCAATTGGCTCACCAATTAAGGCACTAAGGTGCAACTCTCAAGAACACTTAAAGAGTGAAAAACATGGAAGTGTAGCAACACTAAGTGCACTGAAATGAGGTAAGAAATGATGCCAAATCATTCAAACAACACAAGTATGGCATGCTAGGGTCCTTAAAGCATGAAGCTAGTAAAGAAGACTACAAATGAGGCATACAATACATGGCACAAATGCATGAACTAAGCATGGACAGAGCTTAAATAGGTCAAAATAAGGACCTAAACATGCTGAGACGAGGGGCCAAAGGCCTAGGCATGCAAGCACACAAGCTAAGGCATAAACTAGGCAACAATGCATAACACTCAAAGACACTTAAAGCATGATTGAGGTAGGAACATGGTGATGTTATAAGCTCTGAAATGTCATGTTAAATGATGCCAAATCATGTACACAACACAAATGAAGCATGCAATGGTGCTCAAAGCTTGAGGCAAGCAAGAGCATTTGTACTACAAGTATACAAAACATGAAGCATGTGGCCAAGGCAACCCAAAACAGTCCTAGAACATGTCAAAATGTGTCTAAAGCATGTATGGGAAGAAGCCAAAACAAGCTAGCATGGAGGGCATAAGGCATGATGCATACAAGGCAAATAAGGTGGATTACACTACACCTATTAAGACTAAGCATGGGAAAAAAATTTACTTAAATAATCACTAATACCAAAATAAAATTACTATATTACTCTCATTTTCATTCACTCATCCCTCAAATTCCTCTTTAAGATTGGGCAAAGTCGCATTACTAGTTGAGAGAAAATGAAATTAAGGAAGGTGAGATTGGAAAAAAGAAAAAAGAAAAAAGAAAGTGTTTAACTCCATAAAAGTTAATATAGATATTTTTAAAGTTTTTTTTTTTTTTGATTGCGTGTCATGCTCTCTACTAGTTTGACTTAGCGGTTGATTAATGAAAGGGACCATTTATTATGTAATTATTAGAAACTTCAAAGAATTGGATATAATTTCTCAAATATAAAGGAGGAATATTTTGGACAATCTTCACTGTATTTGAAATTAAATTATGTTGTGTACTTAACAACAACCAGAATATAGAAGAAATAAAAGAAAGGAGAAAATTCGTTTGATTACAAAAATCAAATTAGAAATAAAAAATATATAAATAAAAAACAGATTTTATTTTGTTACAAAAACAAAATTAAAATTTGATTTAAATAAACAAATAAAACAGAAAATAAATTAAACAACTCGATTAATTTCTTCGAATAATAATCTGATCAAGTCCAGTGTTCGACATTGTGTCCTTAAGACAGATTCGTCCTCTCCACGTTGTTTTCAGAATGTGGATGTCTATCTCCCAGGATGAAATGATCAACAACAAACAATAGCAGCACTACAAATTGTTTGCCCAACGAACACACTAAGTGTTTACACGCTTTCTCAAAAAAATTAAATGAAGCAAAATGAAGAATAAATTTGCAGAGGTGAAGTACGAAATTTCTAAATGAATATATCAAATGAAGGGCTAGTCTATTTATAGATGTAGTGGCACCCATTTATTTTGAATTAAACAGGTAGCACCTATTTGAGCAGGTACTGAACCTGTTGGGTTTGAATTGGTATTGATTGGGTTCAAATTTGAACAGAAAAAATCGGAACATCATAGATTTGAATCTATCCGGGTTATTTGAAATCTAAACAGTTTCAATTCTGTTCGGGTGGGAGAAAACCGGACCCAATTTTGAATTTAAATTCCAAAAATCAAATTGAAAAAATTAGAATTTAATTATTGAAAATAAAATTCAAATATTTTTGGCTCAAAAAGATTAGTATTGGGCGGGACAAACCCAACCTCACACCCAAGCCCCGCCCGACCGGATGAGCGGTGACGCGTGTGTGGTGAATTTTAGATCCAATGGGTCTAGCCCATAACCTCCCTCTCTACAACACTTGGGTACCCCTTGGGGCACACCCCAAGTCTCAATCCCATGCCTTATAAACCCACTCAAAACTTCCCACCAAATCAATGTGGGACAAGCCACTTTTTAACCTTTATGCTGTGTTTGGTTGGGGGATTTGGGGTGGGATTTGGAAAATGAATGAGAAATGTAATCCTATTTATGTTTGGTTATAATAAAAAATATATGGGAAAAGAAAGGGAGTGAGAAATAAATAAAGAAATAGGAGACCTTTTAGGACATCAATTCTATTTTATATCTGTGAGAAAAGACCGGGAAAACTGAGGGGAAAAATTTATCGGGGAGAGAGAGTTTCATTGTTCATGGCTTTTCGCAGGAAACCATTCATGAGTAGATTCAAAAAACCACCATCGACGAGTTTTGAAGATCTAACTCTGGTAGCAAACTCTGATTCGCAGAATCATTCAGCAAACCCTTCCAATCAGGGATCATCATTTGCTTTAATTGGTAATCTTCAATCAATGAACTCGATTGAAGATTCATTGCCTGGATTTTTCGATCAGGTATTTGTGCTCCTCTTTCATTTTCTCTTACCTTCTCATCAAACTCAGATCTCTATTGATTTCCACCAATTTGTTTATTTATGTTCAAGCTGCTTTACAATTTTGCTTCGAAGTGAAATTGCAGATCTAACTTTGGTAGGAATTTCTGATTCGCAGCATCATTCAGAAAATCGCTCCAATCGGGGATCATCATCTGCTTCAATTGGTGATCTTCAATCACTGAACTCGATTGATAATTCATTGCCCAAAAGTTTCGATCAGGTATTGGTGCCCCTCTTTCGTTTTCTCTTCTCCTCTCATCAAACTCAGATCTGTATTGAAAATTCCATACATACACACGCCTATATATATATATATATATATTATTACGAATTAGAGATTATAGATACATGGATTTGTTCAGAGTAATAGAATTACCCATAGATTATATGCACAGTTTAGTAATATACATACACAGTTTCGTTTTCGATCAGGAATTAATGCATAGAAATAGAATTACCCATAGATTATATGCACAGTTTAGTAATAAAATGGAATTTGCCCCTCTCTCTCATTTTATTTTTATGTTTTTGAGAGTGTTAGTTTAGTTGACTGACACAGAAATCAACTCAAGTATATCAAGTTCTAGTAACAAATTTATATAATAATAAATTCGTCCACCATAATATTATCAGACCAATATTTCTGTACCCTATTTCGTTTGTAAGTAAAAACAAGACAAGGCCTTGTAGATGTTTCAAAGAAGACCTTGAAATTTTGAGTGGCTCTCAAAAACAGCCTACAGTTTCAAGCCACATGATTATCCAGAGCCATATAGTGTATTAAACAGGAAGAGACATTTCATAAATGGTTGTTTTCAATCCCACACTCCACACGAAATGTGTGGACTACCAATGAACTTGAATCAGCCGTTATTAGATCATATGGAGCCCACAAAGCGGTGATGATGGGAGGGAGATTTTGTTTGGGTTTTCAACTTTTGTGTGAGAGCTTTGTGTTGTATAGTTTATTCCACAAGAAAGCTACTATGGACCCTCACTGCTCAAGATTCTCAGATTTGAGCAACATGCAACTGGGCCTTGACAGTAGAGTTGAAACAATGACAAGCTGTGTTGTATAGTTAACTATTTCTGGCTCAAATTTGAATCTGTGAACCAATAGTATATTCAATAGGTTAGCATATGCCTCAGAACAGGTTAATATCATTGTCTCCATTGTTGTCATTGCCATCGTGGTTGGTTTCGTTATCTTGTGTCTGCGGTTTGTATGGTTATTGTTTTTTGTTTCTTTAATGCTTCATTATGCAAAAAATTGCAAAATAGAATATTTTGTGACCTATTTCTGTTTTCATGATAATCAATTCAAGCAGCCTACCATACAAGTTTTTTTGGCTTTTCCAACCAAACGTGCTTAGGGTTCCTCAAAGCTTAGAAGTTGTATTCTTTTTAGTTTTTTTTTTTCCTTGATGAGTTTGAGGTTATTTTGTGTTCTCCCCACACACGTTCCTTTAACAGTCTAACTGGACATTTTTCGTTGATTGCAAGCATTTGAATGCCTCATTTTTTATAAATGACTATTGTCATATTGGAGAATTTGCTAATGTCATTACTATTAGATGGTTCTGTTTTCATTTCGTAACAAATTCACTGTTTTAATTTTGAGTTAACATGGCACCTCTACTCATGATTTCTGGGTCCACCACTGGTTGTGGCACTCTGTGCAGTTTTCATCTTCAAAAGTGATCCTGAATTAGGCATTTATGAAGCCTTTATTAGGATTAAATCCATTAGCTTCCTTTCCTGCTTAGAATGCTTGAGAAGACTGCCAAGATAGAGATGGCAGTGATACTACGACAATAAGTGGGGTTCATTATTGTGCTGCCTTTGTATGGCATTTGTATCCTTTATTTTACTCTTCTTTATAAGATGGAAATTTCAATGTTTAGCTCATGTATTTCACTGCCAATGCCATTTTCTGTTTGGATCCATATGTTTGTTGTTTCTCCTTTTCTGTTGGGAGGAGGGATACACAGATCTTATTTAATTCATTATAAGTCTAATCATAGCTTAAGCAATAGATGGATGACAACTAATGAAAATTACACTTCTACATTAATTCAGTTTTACAAGAGTGACAGATGTGCCCACTAAGACAGCTCAATACCTGTACACAATTTAGCCTTTTACTATTCCAATCTTTTTGAGTTTTTTCCAGCATCAATACATAAACTGGAACTATAAAACTCTGATTTGAATAGGACAAGCTTCTTATTTATTTCTGAGTTTGTGCTTCAATTTGTCTTTGGTTCTGCTGCTGCTGATTCAATCACGATTTCCTGCACAAACAAATTAATAGTTCTATGAGTTCATGATAGATTTTTTTAAACTTAATGCTACGGTTGATTCTTGGATTTATTTTGGAATAATATAGTTTAGCAACTTAATACATAAGACTTGGTACCTGATTAGCACTTGGAGTTTTTTCTTGATTAACATCCAAATAGTTTACCATTTGACCAAGGAAGAATTCAAATGTAACACCATATAAAAAAGATAAAATAGGCCTATTAATTCATATTTCTGCATCAACTTGTTGTCTCCTATTCATTTTTACATGCTTCAAGTTAACCAATCAAATGGGTTGTCATTTTGAGTGTTGCCTAGTCTATGAACTTTTTGAAGTATCATTTCAATTCTGGAACATTATTAACAAGTGGATGTGATTTTTTATATTAAAAAATTGTAGATAAATGATCAAGAGGAGTGGGAAAAGTATAGAAAGTGGGCAGCCACTTGTGTAGCTATGTATGCTTCATATGCTGTCAGCCTTGTCTCAATTCTTCATTGTCGTGATCATATAAGGAAGTCAATTTCAGAACAAGGAGATTATGAAAGATATGCCCTAATTAAACAGCTAACGACTTTGGAAGATGCAGATTGTCGTAGCCAGTTACGCATGAGCAAAGATGCGTTTGCCACACTAGTTAGCATGCTTAAAAGAACTCAGTTTCTTAGAGACAATCCTCAAAGTAAAGTAGAAGAACAAGTTGCAAAATTCCTTCATATAATTGGCCATAATTTGAGGAACCGTACGATCAAGTTCTTTTATAGATGATCAGGTGAGACTGTTAGTCGACATTTTCATCAAGTTCTTAAAGCCATTATATCATTGGAAGATATCTTTTTAAAGCAACCTAATGGATTCAACTGCCCTCCAGAGATTAGAAACAATCCCAAGTATTGGCCTTATTTTAAGGTAGTTACATGAATGCAATTAGGGTATATAATATTATATGTTTGGATACAAATAATGAATTTTTACAGGATTGTGTTGGTGCGATTGATGGTACACATTTTCGTGTAAGAGTGCCAAACAAGGATGCACAAAGATACCGAGGACGAAAATGCTATCCCACTCAAAATGCTTTGGCTGCATGTTCTTTTGATTTAAATTTTACATATATCCTTCCGGGATGGGAAGGATCTGCTTCAGACTCGAGAATATTAGATAATGCATTAACAAGAGAAATGGATAAATTGATCGTTCCTCAAGGTGATCACTGAACGTGTATATATGCTGATGAATATAAATCTATTTTTGTTTTCTTTCAAACTAACATCATTTAGTTACTTGTTGGTCCTAGGGAAATATTACTTAGTAGATGCTGGATTTCAACTAAAAACTGGGTTCCTTGCTCCATATATAAGTACTCGTTACCATTTGAAGGAGTATAGTGTTCATCAACCAGAAAATTCTCGAGAGCTTTTCAACCTTCGTCATGCATCTTTGCGAAATGCAATTGAAAGAGCCTTTGGTGTCCTAAAGAAAAGGTTTCCAATTTTAGGAAGTGGGACAGAGCCATATTATGATGTTGACACTCAAGCAGATATTGTTTTGGCCTGTTGTATTTTGCACAACTACCTCATGGGTGTTGATCCCAATGAAAGTCTTATTGAGGAGGTTGATACAGAGCTTAGAAGAGCACAAGTGCAATCTAACGTGGCTAGATCAAGTTTAGCTGAAGAATGTAGGGAAGGAGAATTGTTAAGGGAGAGAATAGCTACTGACATGTGGAGAGATTATGATATAAATCTTCAATGACAATCAAATTATAATATGGATTTTGGAAAACAAAGAGGGGCTAGAAGGGTTATTTGATGTTCTTGTTCTTGTTCTTGTGATGTACCCATTATGTGCTCATTTGCTTTACATCAATATAATATTTTTCTTTTGCTGATAAAACAAAAAATTGACAAGTTAATTATTATTATTTGAATGTTATCTTGGAATGAATTATATTTTAATTTGTTATTGTATTATGTGAAACATTGCGTTTGTTTGGGTGATAATTTTCTACTAGCTATGCTCTTATTCCGATATGTTTTATGGCATTTTTGAGTGTAGGTGGAAGGTGACCAAGAATGTTCAGTAGAAATTGACAAGAAACATTTGAAATGGAATAATCAAATGGATGTTGTTCTTATTGACTCACTCTTGGACCAAATGCTCAAAGGGCAAAAAATTGGTGGTAGTTTTACATCATCTGCTTATAGAGCTGCAAGCAATGCGGTGAGTACCAAGTTTAGTGTACATTGTGATTCCGGTCATGTAAGGAATCGGTTGAAGACTTTAAAAAGGAATCTTGCAATGGCTAAAGATATGTTAACAACTGATAGTGGATTTGGATATAATCATTCAACACAACTGATTGAAGCTACAGCAGGTGTATGGGCAGCTTACCTCAACGTATATCTAATTGTCAGATTGATGTAGTTATGTACTAGAAAATTACAATATTTGTTCATCATTATTTAATATAATATTATATATGCTATTCTCTATAGGCAAAGCCTAAAGCTTCTCAATTTCGACATGCTCCGATTCAAAACTTTCAAAAGTTATGTCAACTCTTCGAAAAGGATCGAGCAACTGGGAGTCTTGCTATAGGTCCAAAAGAAAAGCGACTTCATTGGGCTGGGCAACAAATTCTTTTGGATGATGAAAATATTGACCATACAGAGTCACTCTCAGAGAATTATGATGGGATTGGAACTCGAGCAGCTGGGAGTCTTGCTATAGGTCCAAAAGAAAAGCGACTTCGTTGGGCTGGGCAACAAATTCTTTTGGATGATGAAAATACTGATCATACTGAGTCACTCTCAGAGAATTTTGATGGGATTGGAACTCCAGATGACCAAACTGCTGACGTATCTTGTTCCTTTAACTCAAAGAAGAGAAAGAATAAATTAGGTGACACTCTGAGTGAGGAAATAAGGTCAATTAAGGAAGGTCTAGATGCAGTTGCAGCAGCGCTTGATCGTGGTAACCTTCGGAACTACACAAATGGACAATTATTTGAGGAGATTGAGAAGGTTAGTGGCATGAGTGATGCTTCTCGAATGAAGGTGTATCAAGTTCTTGCTAAAGAAGTGAGTGATGCTCGAGCGTACCTAGAAGGCCCTATTGAACGTCGAGGTCTTTGGTTGTCTGTTAAATTCGGATCTTCAATCTTTGATGCGTAGTACTATTTTTCTTTCGTTGGTACTTTTTTATTTGAATATTTCAGGGATTTGGTGAATCTATGAAAATATCATTAGGCTTGGATTTTTTGTATGTAGACTTTGTTAGTTGGTGGTGAGTCTATTTTGGTAGATGAATCGGTTATTCTGATTGTGATGCATTGCTGCACTATGATACATTGATGTTATGTTTTCTATATTGGTGGATGAGTCTGGTGTCTTGGTTTTGATGTTCTGCTGTTGATGCTGTCTTATGCTTTGGTTTGGTGTTCTGCACTTATGCTGTTGCTGATGCTAGCTGTTTGTAGGTGGTTGTGATGCATTGCTGCACTATGATACATTGATGTTTTTTCTTTGTTTTTTTTTTTTTTTTGGTAATGCTTGTGAGATTATTCTGATCATCATAATAGAACTCTTGGGAATCATCATTATGTTCAATTAAAATTGGTGCCTGTCTGTTGAATCTGCAATTCAAACTTTATCAAGTTTGGAGGGAAGCTCTTCCACTAATATATAAATGCTTTTATATTATTGTCAATATATCAGTATACTATTGTAGTTTTACATGTGTTGTGGGCTGGTTTGCTACTTACAATATGTCAAAAGTTGGTGTTTGTTGGTTCAGAATTCCACATCAATGCTGTTTTATTTACACACCAATGATGCTGGTTTGTGTCTGTCTGTAAGCAGCATAGCATTTTTTCATGGTTGCAACCAACAATATAATAATATCATATATAAATATATGTAAATCCCCTCTCTGTGGAATTATTCTTTGCATGAGCATAATTTTCTCTCTATCGCATATGCTTTTGTTTGCTGGGAAATTCAATCATATATGCATCTTCAGTGTTCTCAAAAACAGAAAAAAAAAAAAAAGATGAGCTATGTAATTTTAGTGTTTGACTATATGTTTTCACTTGTTCTGTGCTCCTAGTGATTGATGTGGTTGTTATGTTCTCGTACATTTTTGGTTGGATTAGAAAAATTAGAAGAAAATAACAATATATATATATATATATAATATTTGTCGAGAAAATATAATAAATTTTTGTTTAGTTATGATTTTTTATTTTTATCAAATTAATTTTTTAATTTTTTATTTTTTTATTTGATTGATTTTTTATTTTGATTGATTAATTTTTTTATCAAATTAATATATAATATATATATATTTATTTTTATTTTTATCAAAATATAATAAATTAATTTTTTATTTGATTGATTTTTTATTTTTTTAAAAAAAATTAATTAATTTTGTTTGTTGTTGTTTTTTTTTTTTTTTTTCTAAAAAACAAATAGCACTTTGATCATTTGTAACCTTATTTTTTGTTATTGCAATTCATGACTACAATTCTGTGTGTGAAGGACAATGAGAGAGTCATGAGAAATGATTTCTTTTCCTCCTGGGATTCCCAACACAACCAAACATAGTTGGGATTTGGAATTCTATTAATTCTTTCTCCTTTTCCTTTCATTTCCATTTCCCTTTCCATTTCCCTTCCCAAATCCCCCAACCAAACACAACGTTAAGGATTTTCCACCAAACTCCATTTACATGGATCATACTTTGGTTTTAATTTCTCATTCATTCGATAATGGTTTGGAGCAACCAAATATATCACGTGAATCACAACGCGGTATAGAACGCGTTACCACTTTGACCCGCGAAAATCGACGCACGGGTCCCATAAAAAAATAGACCAAAGTCTGGAGAAAATTCTGTTTTCCAGAATTTCCAAATCAGTTTCTAACATAATCTGTATTTTTAATAAATTTTAAGAATGTGTTTGTAATTTATCTAAGAATTTATTAATAGAATATAATTAACGAACACAAATTCAAATGTGGAAATCATCAGTAACCTATTGAACTCTACTTTAATAACATCTCATATTCTACATGGTAAGCTGTAAAGACTAAAGATCAACATAATCAACAAATACATATACAGATACCATATATAAGTAGGGAGAGAGGACTCACCAGAACGTCCAAAACATTGTTAGGTGTCAAGACTATCGTCGGAGATGTAAAAAATAACAAAATATGCTAACAATTGATAAACTGAAAGAAAAGAAAAAAAAAAACCTAACAATAAAAAACAACAACGGCGGAAAAATACATAAGTTTTTTTTTTAAAATTTTTTTTGTAGAGTTTAAACAAAAAATCTCCTATATTGATCAAATTGAAAAGCATGTTTTGAAACTATAAAATTATTATAGTCAAAGTATGATTTTATTAAGTAATTCTCCTTATTAATTAAACTAAAAAATATGTTATAAAACTGTAAAATTTTGTAATAAAAGTATGTTATGAAATTAAAAAAAATTTCAATGTTTTAAAACATGTTATGAAACTATACAAATTTTACAGTTTTCACTGTTTATAACTAAAACTCGAAAAAAATTATTCAGAATTTGAAAATTTTCTCTATTAAAACAAGAAAAGAGAAATACGTAGCCAAGAAAAAATAGAAAAACTAAAAGATTGAAGGAGATAGACAGACATAGAGAGACGATTGTACTCTTACAACTATTTTTTTGTTTAGATCTAGTCAGATCTAATATCTCAGATCTGAGTAGATCTACTGATCTCATTCGCTAGAAACTTAGATATGAGTAAATATGAGTAGATCGAAGAAAACATCAAACTCATCAGAATTTTTTATCTAGGAATCGTTTACTTTAATCTAAGAGTAGATTACTTTAACATATCATAGGAGTAGTTTATTATCATTAAGAGTAGTTTTAATTTAATGGTTCTGTGATTGTTTTCTAGTTCTTGTAATTAGTAAAAAAAAATTTGATTATTATGTATTTTTGTTTTTGTTTTTGTTCTTATTCAAATTTTTGCAACAAGTAATAATTTCAACAATATAATATTAGTATTTAGTTTGTTTCTCTCTGTTGATAATCTCCAAAAAGATCCTTAAATCTGTCAAGACATAAGACACCAATTACATCACTTGATTTGTTTGTTGTTTGTGAAATTGGTTTTGCCGGTCAACTTTTCCCTATCGATTTACTTCAAACCAAATTTTTACTAACAACGAGATACAATCTGCACTAGGCAAGGGAACACTTTTTTTTTTTTTTTAAATATTTTATTAATACATTTTTTAGAGAGTTAATTACACTTTTCATCCCTATATTTTAATCCAAATTTCACTATAGTCACTAAATTTTCAATTTGAACAATTTGGTCCTGACACTTTTAAGTATAATTTCAATTTGGTCATTGCGTCTAAATTTTTGTTAATTTTGTATACATATACATTTTAAAAAATTGACAAGTGTATCAAAATTATTAATTTTACCCACCAATTTTAATGGAGTGACTAAATTGAAACTAAACTTAAAGTGTATAAATAAATTGTTCAAATTAAAATTATAAGATCTGAAATAAAATTTGAGTCAAATGACATGAGTAAAAAGTGTAATTTTTTTTTTTTGTTTTTTTGTTTTTTAATGTCATTGCTCAATTTTTGTATGGGCAAATTATACTTTACCCCTAATATATATATTTTTATTTTGTTTTTTCCAATTCAATTCAATAGTTAACATTCGTTCAATTTTATACCTAAAATGTTATGTGAGTGACATAATATTTCATTATTATTATCTAATTTTGAATAAATTACATTTTGGTCTCCATAAGTTCGCTATATTTTTCGTTTTCAACCTTAAACTTTCTCTCCCACCACCTGACATTATTTATCATAGTCTCATTCTATATCTCAAACCAATTTAGTGCAATTTCGTCTGTCACATCACATACATGAATCAGACAAATCCAATGGATTTCATATCAAAATTATAACGCTATATATATATAGTATCTAAATTCGGATACCAAAAGTTAAATATTATTTAATGTATCACTAATATATTTGTTTATTTTGATCCCACCTTACATACATCTTACTAATGCATTAGTACTTATATATTCAATATTTGGTACTCAATTTTTTTTTTTTGGAACGAAATTTGGTACTCAAATTTGATTACCATAAAATTATTTATAAAAAAAAAAATTAAAATTAAAAATGTAAAGATTAATTCATAAACTTTATTGTATGAATGATAAGCTTCAGGCAAGCAATTATGTCACAAAACCAACCAATATACTTGATATTTAATCATATTATTCTATCGTCAAAACATTAATGGAGCTGTCCAAAAATAGAAAACAAACTATATACTCTACATAACTCACACATTAATCGTTATACTTGATATTTAAATTATTGGATTAATTTAATTTTTTACATAAATAAAATATACAAAATATTTAATAAAATAAATTATTCGAATTATCAAAACGAAACCTGTAAATGGTCTCACAGGCCCAAATAACTCCCTCCAAAATCTGGCTCCTTAATTCACATTATTGTATCATCAAAACATAAATGGGACTATTACAAAAAAGAAAACACATACTTTACACAATGCACCAAGGACAATATCTCCAATCCAAGATATCATGTCCGAGATTAAATATGGTTTGAGTACTCCATTTCTTGACAAATGAGAAATTCTACCAAGTGTAACTATGTTTCTCTATATTTGAATCTCCCATGTTCCTTTTTGTAAAGTTCCTCTCCACCACACGATTATATTAGAGATGTCCATCATGTGATAGAGAAGTGACTTGAAACAAGGAGATAGGAGAGGATCACCACATGATTAAATCAGATATACTCATTATGTGATAGAAAGATAATTTAGAATAAGGAGATAAGAGAAGATTTGGACAGAGAATCCTGCCTTCTATTAATCACAGTTTTCATGTTCAACAATGACAATATATAGTCCTTAATAAGCAACAAAATTTGCCATGAAAATAAAATTTATAGTGCTCCTTTTGGCATTAAGATTATTATTTGGTCATAAATTCCTACCAAAATCTCCCAAGTTATCACTATCTCCAACAAGGACACAAAAACTGAAAATCTTGCAAATTAATTTTGGCATCTCCATTAAGTGTATATATACCATTGGTCATTTGGACTAAGAGAAACCACACAAGGTTTGTTTTGCAAACTACCATATCATTCCAATTGTTTGCCTCTTTGGTCTTAGCTTTAGCGATGACTAGAAAGAAGGTGAAGCTTGCATTCATCACTAATGATTCAGCAAGAAAAGCAACATACAAGAAAAGGAAGAAGGGTCTGATGAAGAAGGTGAGTGAACTAAGCACTCTTTGTGGTATAGATACATGTGCGATTATATATAGTCCCTACGAGTTCCAACCTGAGGTTTGGCCAAACACCTTGGCAGTCCAACGCGTCCTTGCGCAGTTCAAGAGGATGCCTGAGATGGAACAAAGCAAGAAGATGGTGAGCCAAGAAAGTTTCATTAGGCAAAGGATAGTGAAAGCAAACGAACATCTCAAGAAACAACTCAAGGACAACCGGGAGAAGGAGATGACAGAAGTCATGTACCAATGTTTGACAGGGAGAGGGCTTCAGAACTTGGTGATAGCGGACTTGCATGATCTTGGGTGGTTGATTGATCAAAAGTTGGAGGAAATCGACAAGAAAATTGAGTCGATGAAAAAAAAGCCATTGTCTGATGTGTCAATGGCGCCAATGACATCAAGGAGTACTAATGAAATGAGACAGGATCAAAAGCCAAATTTAGATTTGGCCATGGTAGCTATGCAAAGGCCTCAATGGTTCAATGAGTGGATGAATCATCCAAATGATCATATGGGTTTTGGTGGGGATGAGATGGTGATGCCATTTGGGGACAACCACAATGCTATGTGGTCTAGTGTTTTCTTCCCATGAGAGAGACCTTAATTTTCTTGCATTGCATGAACACTTTCAATTTTTAGTCCTTTGTTTTGCTAATGCTTAGTGTTTATTGTTTATCTGTCTCTCTTGAATTTCATTTACATTAATGATCTTGAGAAAACTTTTTTACTTGTTAATGATCTTTTTGTAGAGAAAGAAGAAATCCGTTTACTCCATTCGGAAGTGTTCTATAAGAAAAGAAAACACCTTGACACATAAAATTTTATTACTAGGAATAAAAAGATTTCAGGAATGATTCGACCTCCTATAACAATTCAATAGACTTGTGTAGTAGCGAAAACACCAAAAATGATTAGTTTTAGCAAGAATTAGAATAGATTTGTTTTATTGAATTATTGAGTATTGATATTCTGAAGTGTGCATGAATCAAACCAGCTCCAATTTTGGGTCACTTGTTGATTTAAACCATTCACTAGTAGGATTTACAATCTAACAGATCAATCATGTAAATAATAAGAAGGGTCGAATACTAATAGCTATTTGATTGAATTGTACTTGTTTTAAGAAAATGAACGGTCTACTCTTAAAATTATATTTTTCATTTATTTTTTTAAGATAAATGTGATTTGATCACATGGACATGATTATTAATATTCAAATAATTTAATTAATTTATTTATTTTTACGTTATTCATCCTCTCCATGGGCTTACAAAATAAACCGTTTCCATCATGAATATTTGACCCAAAATTAGGCCCCACGGGTAGGGATATTACTAGGGACTCCAAATCCGATCTTCTCACATAGATGTCACCAAATCTCACATGATAAGCTCATTTTAAAATAGAGAAAAAAAAAATGTATGTTTAATATAATTTTTTGACTTTTTATAAAAAGATACATAATAAAATACTGTGATAAAATCAAAATGATTATTTCACCTTTGTTGACTTTTCGAATTTTAACTTTTGGACTTTTGGGTAGTTGAATTCAAAAGGCAAAACAATAATTTTGCCCCTCAAATAGTTTAAACTTTTTGACTTTTTAAATAATTTTTTGACTTTGTAACTGTTGTAGGTTATGTCAAACCAAGCCTAAATAATAGTATTTGATTTAGTTACGTCCTAACTCACTATAACATATAATGTTTTAGGAACTAAATTTTTTTATTTTTAAAAGTAAAAATTTTGTTGTAAAATATATTTGGATACCAATTCCTCTCGTCACGAGAGTCGTTACTAAAAAGTTATCACGAAAAGTCAAAAAAGGACTTTTAGAGATAATTTTGAAAATGTCGCTAGTAAATGTATGTTTTGGGACAAAAAAAATTTAGTGCAAAAAAAAAAAATTATTTCTTGAGATAAAAATTTTGATCCAAAAGATAATAATCCATCATTAAATGTGTAATTTTGTTGCTGAGAATATACAAAAATGACACTTTTGATAATTAAAATATATCGTCTCTAAAGAGTAATTTTATCCTTAAATTTTTGTTTCTAAAATTTTAATTTGTTATAGTGACTTAAAACGTGTAGAAACTGTAAAAAAGTATTTGCTTCGCTGTTTCCTAATCATCAACAGATAATATCATTAAATAGCCAATTTAATTTCCTTCCTCTTGTCATGTGCAAACGGTTTGAGATATTTTATTTATCAGTCATGATAGAGATCTCCACAAAACACAACCCCGACAACCCTTAAAATGATCTAAACCATTCATGTTACTGTCAGACATAATTCCCAAAAAAAATTCAAACACATCAATGATTAATACATTAATAAAGTCGTGGGACCCTCCTTTGTGGGTCCGAAACATTTTCCTTCATTTATTCCCTACGAGTCCCAACTAGAGATTTGGCCAAACACCTTGGGAGTCCAACGTGTCCTCACGCAGTTCAGGAGGATACTCAAGATGGAACAAAGTAAGAAGATGGAGAAGCAAGAAAGTTCCATTAGGCAAAGGATAGTGGAAGCAAATGAACAACTCATGAAACAACAAAAGGATAATCGGGAGAAGGAGATGACAGAAGTCATGTACCGGGGGTTGGCCGGGGCAGGGCTTGAGAACTTGGAGATGGCATACTTGCATGATCTTGGGCGATTGATTGATCAAAAGTTGAAGCAAATTGACAAACAGATTGAATCAATGGAAACACAGACACCTTCTGGTGTTTCACTGGCACCTGGGACATCAAAAGAGTACTAATGAGAAGAGATAGGATCAAAGCTGGATTTAGATTTGGTGACAACAACCACAATGCTATGTGGTCTAGTGCTTTCTTCTCATGAGATGGACCTTAATTTACTTTTGCATGCTTTGTGTGAACCCACCCTTTCAATTTAGTTCTTTGTTTTGGTAATGCCTAGTGTTGGTTGTTTACATTTCTCTCTTGGGTTAGTCCTTTGTTTTGGTAATGCCTAGTGTTGGTTGTTTACTTTTCTCTCTTGAGTTAGTCCCTTGTTTTGGTAATGCCTAGTGTTGGTTGTTTACTTTTCTCTCTTGAATTTCATGTACTTTAATGATTTTGAGAAATCTTTTTTACTTGTTAATGATCTTTTCTAGAGCAAAAAAACAATCAATTTACTCCATTCAGAAGTGTCCTGCAAAAGAAAACACCTTGACACATATACAATTTTATTATTAGAAATAAAAGAATTAGGGTCTACAATCTCACAGATGAATCATACAAAAAATAAGAATGATTAGCTATCAGTAATTACCTAATCGAATCATTCTTGTTTTAAGAAAAAGATGGTTTACTTTTAAATTATATTTGTCATTCATTTTGTTTTAAAAAAAAATATGATTTGATCACGTAAACGTGAATATTTATATTCAATTTATTTTATTTATTTTATTTTTATTTTTATTTTTTGGCATGATTGATTTTCCCAATGAACCTACAAACCTCGATCATGAAGATTGGGCCCAAAATTAGGCCCCACTGTGAGGGATATAAGTGGCTCCTTATCTTCCCCTCAAAATGACAGTGGTCCCGTTTGGTAGAGTTGTGAGAAAGTGATTATAACTTATACCTTAACAGCTTATAGTTTATAACTGTGAACATAAGTTGATTTTTGACTTATAAATTAAGCTTCTCCTCCCCCACTCAAAGAATAATTTGATTTTTGACTTACAAAAAGCTATAAGCTGTATTGTTAAGCTGAATCAAACACATCAAAATAGCTTAAATTAAGCTAAAAGCTGAAAAAAAACTGGAAATAAGCCCTACCAAACAAGGTAAGTATTTGATTTAATTATTTCCTAACTTTGAACATGTAAGAACTGTAAAAAAAGCATAAACACATAAAATCATTAAAGAGTTTGGCAACCAGCCAAATTAGTTAATTATAGACTAATTTCTATCACATCATTTCTCTATTTTTATATATATATTTGGATCTAATGGGTCTAGCCATAACCTCCCTCTCTACAACACTTGGATGCCCCTTGGGACACACTCCAAGTCCCAATCCCATGCCTTATAAACCCACTCAAAACTTTCCATCAAATTAATGTGGGACAAGCCACTTTTCAACCTTTAGGATTTTCCACCAAACTCCATTTCCATGGAGCACACTTTGGCTTTAATTTTCCATTCACTCGATAATGGTTTGAGCAAGCAAATATACCACGTGAATCACAACGCGGTATAGAACGCGTTACCATTTTGACTTGCGAAAATCGATGCACGGGTCCCATCTAAAAAATAGATCAAAGTCTGGAGAAAATTCTGTTTTCCAGAATTTCAAAACCAGTTTGTAACAGAATCTGTATTTTTAATAAATTTTAAGAATGTATTTGTAATTTATCTAAGAATTTATTAAAAGAACATAATTAACGAACACAAACTCAAATGTGGAAATCATCAGTAACCCATTGAACTCTACTTTAATAACATCTCATATTCTACATGGTAAGCTGTAAAGACTAAAGATCAACATAATCAACAAATACATATACAGATACATGGACATATCTAAGTAGGGAGAGAGGACTCACCAGAACGTCCAAAACATTGTTAGGCGTCAACACTATCGCCGGAGATTCTCTAGAATGTCAAGAATATTTTTAGGAAAAAAAAAATAAATGAAGAAATTAGAATGTAAAAAATAGCAAAATGTGCTAACAATTGATAAACTGAAAGAAAAGAAAAGAAAAAACCTAACAATAAAAAACAACAACAACGGAAAAATACATAAGTTTTTTTTTAAAAAATTTTTGTAGAGTTTAAACAAAAAATCTCCTATATTGATTAAATTGAAAAGCATGTTTTGAAACTATAAAATTATTATAGTCAAAGTATGATTTTATTAAGTAATTCTCCTTATTAATTAAACTAAAAAATATGTTATAAAACTGTAAAATTTTGTACTAAAAGTATATTATGAAATTAAAAAAAATTTCAATGTTTTAAAACATGTTATGAAACTATACAAATTTTACAATTTTCACTGTCTATAACTAAAACTCGAAAAAAATTATTCAGAATTTAAAAATTTTCTCTATTAAAACAAGAAAAGAGAAATATGTAGCCGAGAAAAAATAGAAAAACTAAAAGATTGAAGGAGATAGAAGACATATAGAGACGATTGTACTCTAACAACTATTTTTTTGTTTAGATCTAATCGGATCTGAGATCTCAGATCTGAGTAGATCTACTGATCTCCTTCGCTAGAAACTTAGATATGAGTAAATATGAGTAGATCGAAGAAAACATCAAACTCATCAGAATTTTTTATCTAGGAATCGTTTACTTTAATCTAAGAGTAGATTACTTTAACATATCATAGGAGTAGTTTATTATCTTTAAGAGTAGTTTTAATTTAATGGTTCTGTAATTGTTTTCTAGTTTTTGTAATTAGTAAAAAAAATTCTGATTATTATGTATTTTTGTTTTTGTTTTTGTTTTTATTCAAATTTTTGCAACAAGTAATAATTTTAACAATATAATATTAGTATTTAGTTTGTTTCTCTCTGTCAATAATCTCCAAAAAGGTCCTTAAATTTGTCAAGGCATAAGACACCAATTACGTCACTTGATTTGTTTGTTGTTTGTGAAATTGGTTTTGCCTGTGACTTTTTCCTATCGATGTACTTCAAACCAAA